AGGGCTACAACATGGACGAACGTGAGTCTCTTGAATAAACTCGTTATAATCAGAATGAACGGGGGTGATGCTAAATAGGGCTACAACATGGACGAACGTGGGTCTCTTGAATAAACTCGTTATAATCAGAATGAACGGGGGTGATGTTAAATAGGGCTACAACATGGACGAACGTGAGTCTCTTGAATAAACTCGTTATAATCAGAATGAACTGGGGGTGATGCTAAATAGGGCTACAACATGGACGAACGTGAGTCTCTTGACTAAATTCGTTATAATCAGAATAAACTGGGGGTGATGCTAAATAGGGCGACAACATGGATGAACGTGAGTCTCCTAATTAATATCTTTATAATTAGAATGAACTAAGGTGATGTTAAATAGGGCTACAACATGGACGAACGTGAGTCTCCTACTTAAACTCGTTATAATTAGAATAAACTGGGGCAAGGCTAAATAGAGCAACAACATGGACGAACATGAGTCTTCTATTTTGACTGGTTATAATCAGAATTGCGTTACTAACCTATTGCCCTGTTGTTGATCTGTTGCAACAACAGTTGCACTGCTATTATTTATGTTAATCATAGCACTGTTGTTATTTTGTTGCACTGTTGCTAATTTGTTGCACTGTTATTAATCTGTTGCTCAGTGGAGCTGGTCTTCCGAAGCGAGCGTAATCCCGACGCCCTGACTTACTACTGGCAGACGTGGCGAGACATCGCCGGCAGGCCGACCAAGCCTTTCTTCGTCGAATACGTTGGCTTGATGAATATGGCCGCTACAGACGACGCTAATGGTGCGAAATATAGTATAATATAATCTAATGTAATATAATATAATATAATATAATATAATATATTATAATATAATATAATATAATATAATATAATATAATATAATATAATATAATATNATCCAGGTACAGTGCAGATCCAGGTACAGTGCAGATCCAGGTACAGTGCAAATCCAGGTACAGTGCAGATCCAGGTACAGTGCAGATCCAGGTACAGTGCCTGTCTCTTATACACATCTAGATGTGTATAAGAGACAGGTATTATGTTACGTCATCACCCAACTAGACGCATTGTTAGGAACCAAACATTATAGGTAGAACATATATAACATCAGTCGCTTTAGATTACAAAACTTACTATTAGGTTCATAGGGCCCTATATAAATGTTGTTAAAAACTGAAGTCAAAATACCGTCACGCTGTATAAATCTCACAGCCCATACAACTCAGTATAATACGCTAAAAAAATAAATTATAAGTGCGCACTTGCGTTAAAATTTAAATGGAGTTTACACCTTACATTTTGTATGTGTATATTCTAGCAGCATTATTCATCAAATTTCATACACTTGAATCATTTAACACGTTATACTTCTTATTTATACATCCATTGTTCATCAGAGTTTATTTCACTTGCAGGCAATATGTGGGCTCAGAGCTGGGAGAACATATACGACATCGTGGTCCCTTACCCAGACGCTCCCCTCATCGATATCTCAGACACTCTCAACAACAGCGTACGTAACTCTACAACAGCGTACGTAACTCTACAACAGCGTGCGTAAGTCAACAACAGCATACGTAACTCTACAAAAACGTACGTAACTCAACAACAGCGTACGTAACTCAACAACAGCGCACGTAACGCTACAACAACAGCATACGTAACTCTACAACAGCGTACGTAACTCAACAACAGCGTACGTAACTCAACAACAGCGTACGTAACGCTACAACAACAGCATACGTAACTCTACAAAAACGTACGTAACTCAACAACAGCGTACGTAACTCTACAACAACGTACGTATGTAGCTGCACTGAATTATCACAGCATTCATCAAATTCTAATTTCAGTCGATGTGACGCTAAGTTTTAACGAACTGCGTAATCAAATAATTGCCATTTCCCTACAGATAACCGACGTGAAGGAAATGTTCGATTATGCAGAAGGTTTTTTCACTTCCTTGGGCCTGTACAATATGACGGAAGATTTTAACACGAAGTCCATGAGAGAGCAGCCTGTGAATGCTACCGCTGTCTGCCACGCGTCCGCCTGGGATTTTCTGTCCATCACGGATAAAGGGCCAATCACGGACGGTGATTTCAGGTAATTTTTTATTATATCCAGGCAATGGATATACCGATGGACGAGCGTGGAAAAGGATTTTAGGTGAATACTTTTCATACGTAGGGAATGAAAATGCCCGGGTTACCAGGACTTAAGGTATTCTCTATGTCATTGTGATAACTATATTTAAATGTAACGGGAGTACACTTATCCTCGCCACACTTCACAGTTTTAGCATAGACGCTATTTTAGCATTTACTATTTCACGAAAGAGAAGCTATGTCTTCTAGTGATGATTGTGGTGTGGCTTAAGTCGTCGTAATCAGTTGTATGCATCCAATTTCGCGAAAATTGATCGCTGTACTATTAACGATGGAGGTTGTACTTACGATCTTACATCACAATGATTATTACGACGATGGTAACAGCAGCATAAATGTTCTCACAGGATCAAGATGTGCACGGACAAGAACCAGGAGGACTTCATCACGATCCACCACGAGATGGGACACATCGAGTACCAGATGGCTTATAGCCAGGTTAATGAGGCCAGCCCTCAGACTCAGCCACTCATCTTCCGCGACGGTGCAAATCCAGGTACAGTGCAGATCCAGGTACAGTGCAGATCCAGGTACAGTGCAGATCCATGTAGAGTGCAGATCCAGGTACAGTGCAGATCCTATTCTGGTGAAAATCGTAAAAATATTCATTTTCAACGATGAATTATATTTATTGAATCCTGGCCGAGGCGAGTACACACATACACACAAGGGCAAAAATGTATATCCCTATTTAGACAAATTCTCATTCATTTTTCTCGGTGTATTCCCAAATGTGAACCCTTGTCTTGCTGTCAGGGTTCCACGAAGCCATAGGCGACACCATCGCGCTGTCGGTGTCGACGCCCTCCCATCTCCTGGGCCTTCAGGAGGACATCGGAGGCCCCCCTCAGGGCACCGCCACCACCCAGGCCCCCGTCAACCAGAACCATACCGACATCAACCAGCTCATGAGGATGGCTTTGGAGAAGGTGCAACACAAGCCCAATTCTAGGGATATTTTTTTTATATTTTTCTCTAGCACTTGAATTGTTTTTATTTTAGGACATGTTTAATATCCGTTCTCGAGTTGTATATTTTATGACATGTTTTTATATCCGCTCTCAAAGTATATATTTTATGACATATTTTATGTTTATGACAAGATAAAGAAATAAATTACGTTTATGTTCACAAACTTGATATATTTTACATTATAGATCATTTCAAAGAGAGGTTTGCATTACTTCACACTCAGAAAAGCAAGCCTCCAAATGTCCTATCAGCGTTGCACTGTTTACTTTTGTGTGGGTCATCCTGACCCAGTTTGGCGAGTGTTACAACCACTCATTGTTGGTGCTGTGGGAAAGAAACTGATCCATTATTTTAACAACATGAGCCGTTAATTTGTCTGAGTGCAGGTGGCCTTCGTTCCCTATGCGTACATTTTGGACAAATTTCGGTGGGACGTTTTTGCGAACGCTTACGCTCCCGACGTCTACAATTACGAGTGGTGGAAACTCAGGTAATCTGTTATTAAGCAGTAATTTAAATATTCTACTTATTCTACATGGTATGAAATTAAAATTTGTCGTGACCTTCTACACTTTCTCCGGCAGTCATCTAGGCAATGAACATTGTACGGTAAATTTTTTTACCTAAGGTTAGTTCACGCATAACTGAAATATGCGTAGTCACCTATATAGTCAAGTAACCAACAAACATCTAATTGATGATAAACGATCGCTCATTAAATTCGTGTTTTACAACTTGAAAATTTAAATCAAAGTCCTACTAATCTCAAGCACCAGCGCGACAAAAAACCGATGTGTTCAACTGTTCATTCCTGCTGTGATGAACACTAAAAAATTTGTTCTTTTGAGCTGTGATATGAAGTCTAATATGTGTTCATTCCAGCTGGATAAACTCTAGATATCTGCGACCATTTCAAGGTGAATATTTGCCCAGTTCTGCACGCCATTGTTATGCCACACAATAAATTCGTAGCGCACTTCTACTCGCTGCCTCACCTGCACTAAATTCGTTGCGCATTTCTACACGCTGCTTCACCTGCACTAAATTCGTAGCGCACTTCTACACGCTGCTTCACCTGCACTAAGTTCGTAGCGCACTTCTACACGCTGCTTACGTGGCCAACAGCGTACCTTACATCATATTTGGCCCATTCATCACTATAACCACAATCACCTATTATTATTACTCGGAAGAAATTCAATATGTTATACATTATAATCGATTTAATATTGATGATTGATAACACATCTCACAATTGCAAGGACGATGCACAGGATGTGTTAGCAAAACTCCTAACTATCCCCGTCATGCTGCAGGTATTTCGTCGCAACCATCCTGCAGTTCCAGTTCCACGAGCGACTGTGCGAAGTCGGAGGAATCGCGACCCCTGACAACGGCGTGCCGGTCTACCAATGCGACATCTACAAAAATAAGAAATCTGGTGACCAGCTCAAGTGAGTTGTTACAAGGGCTGTTACTTGTAACAAGGAGGCAACATGTTATCAGGGCTGTTACTTGTAACAAGAATGCAATACGTTCTCAGGGCTGTTACTTGTAACAAAAATGCAATACGTTCTCAGGGCTGTTACTTGTACCAAGAACGCAACACGTTCCCAGGGCTGTTAATGGTAACAAGAATGAAAATTGTTATCACGGCTGTTACTTGTAACATGAACGCAACATGTTATCAGGGCTGTTACTTGTAACAAGAAGGCAACACGTTCTCAGGGCTGTTACTTGTAACAAAATACCAGACAACTAATACCCATTTAATTGCAAACACCAAATAAACAATAATGCTTAAATAATTACAACCCTCGGTGATCGCATCAATAACGTCGCAAGCCCCTCCCTCTCTTCCCCAGGCTGCTCCTGCATCCCGGGCGCTCCATCCCGTGGACGGAGCAGCTTGCGAACTTCATGGGGACTGGGGATGGTAACATGACCTCCGCCTCCATCAAGAACTACTTCAGCCCTCTGGAGGAGTTCCTCGACTCCGAGATCGCAGCGAAAGACATCCACGTCAGTAGCTATGGACGAGTACCTGTACAGGGGGCCCGTAGAGTCGAGCAATAAATACTTTATATTGTATTGTGTTGTCTTGTGTTCTAATGTATTGTATTATATTGTGTTGTGTTGCATTGTGTTGTATTGTATTGTATTGTAGCGTATTGTGTTGTGCTGTGTTGTTTTGTATTGTATTATATTGTAGTGTATTGTGTTTTATTAACAGTATTGTATTGTACAGTATTATATAGTATTGTGTTGTAGTGTATTGTAGTGTATTGTTTCGTATTATATTGTATTGTATTTTTTCGTATTGTATTGCATTGTAATTACTGTAGCTTATCTCACCACTTATTTACTCAATATTCTGGATTTCAGATGACGTGGGATGAGGACGTGGACAAATATTTCGTACAGCACATCCCCCCGACCGTGCCCATCGTTGTCGGCATCGTGTTGTGCGCCATGATTGTCGTAGTTGTCGTCGCTTACTTCGTCGGTAAGAACAGGAACCAGAAGAAAGCAGAACAGGCGAAGCAACAGGCAACAACAGAGAAGAAAAGTGGCAGTGTCAACCCTGGTTTTGAGATGGCAGAAACTAAGAGCAACAGCAGCGGTGGCAGTGGTGGTAGTGGGGGCAGTTAGATTAAAATGCCACGACACGTAAGCTGAAATCGTCAAAGCAAAACGTTATACTCAGAATAAACATGATGCTAGAAGTAACGTAAGAATTAGGCTAAGCATAATATCAAATTAAAGAGTACATTCGTGGGGAACCTTGTCATCAACATTTCTACAGCTCTGTGCCAATATCAATACCATGTCAAGTTAAACACCCAATACCGTAATCAACCGCCCCCCGTTCCAATGAAGCGTTGGGATGTACATTTTACTAAATTGACCTCTTTTTCGGTTTCTAAAACTGCCATTCTAGCAACCATTATTTCAATTGTAAGCCAGATTTCGATTGTAAACCAGAAGATCAGCGGTTTTATTATTGGTTAATTAAAAGCAATAATTACAGTAAATAGCTATCTTAACATCCCTGCTTCCTCATGTATTTGATGGGTCACGGTGAATCTACAGTTCATCTATGGAGTGAACAAGATGCTCCCGCTAAATTCTGTTCCGTTAAGAAATTGAAGGGACTTCTTGCTGTAAGAATTTGCGATAATATAATAAAGTAGAAGACTTGTGACAGAAGCTTCTCCTAGCTTGCCTGAGCTCCATCAAGGCCCAATGTTTGAGTTCGCACTCCAGCAGGCATATATCTAACATACAAGGAGATTATATTTGTGAGAATTTACATTTATTTGTTAATGAATATGAACATCACATTTATTATTGCGAGTTATTAAGCTGGGTAATATTCGTAGAGAAGTTCAGATTAGCGTAGTAGTGGATATTGGTGTCAGTGTTGAGTAGGACAAATCCGGCCTCATACCTATCATAGACATTGTAGAATTTTTCCAGGTTGCTGAGGGCTTAGTCCAGCAACTTATTGCGCCTATATTGCTATTCTTTTCCACTTGGCCACTCGAACTCACTGCTCAAATCTTGGTACTTTGAACTTCAACCACTCGGCCACCCAATCTATAGTATACCAATCATGTTTTAGTGGGCAACATGAGCTGCCTAACCATGAAAAATTATTGTGCAACGTTAAGAAATATATCAATCTTAGAATTTGTGTAAAACCTAATGGGTAATTGGATTCAAATATAATATAGACAATTGCTTTTTATTTACTTTCCTCGTAACGTTGTAAGTTAAGGAGAGTTTGTTATAGAAATTAAGAGAATAATAAAATGTACTGGATCAACTGGCATGTCATGACAATTTTACGGCCGGACTCGTGGGCGGATAGCTCATAGTCCAAGTCCACAGTGCGATTCATATACCTTCCCGAGCGTAACGCAGCCGGCCATCTCCACGGCTTTTGACACAAAGCGCCCACCACAACAGCGCGTTCAGTCCAGGTCGGAGCGCATACAGGCCGGAGCACAACAGGCCGGAGCGCAGCAGGCCCTACTGCAACAGCTACTCCTAACGTAACCTAACCTAACCTGCGCCGCCTGTTGCAGTAGGGCCTGTTGCGCTCCGGCCAGTTGTGTTCCGGCGCCGTGAAGCAGTGGCTGTGTTGTGCAAAGCCGATTTACTGTTAGCCGGAGTTACCCACAGCTATAATTTGTCTGAGGCTATGTGTAGATATTGCATGCTGATGATTGGCGTTGGGCCCAGGGCCTGTTTACGAGTCAATTTTGTTACCCACGGCTGCGCTCCCGGACTCGCGGCCTGTCTCACGAACGGTCTCCAAGAAATATATCCCAATTCAGCGACCTTTTAGTATCCAACTTCAAGATTTGTATTAAAATTGTTATTTATCCATTGGCATTGGCATAAGACAAGATTTGCTTACATAAAACATTTTCACACCCAACAACCCTAGCTGCATTTTGCATGTGGCTATAATCTTGAATACGCCTGAAATGTCGTCTGTCAAGGTCTAGAATAGAATAGAAGTGTCGGCACTGAAGAAATAGGCCCATGGCCTTTTGCCGATTCTTGAATTTTTCGTGACTTGATTCACAAAGGATCCGGCCTTTGGAATCCGATCTTTCCATAACTGACGATTGATTGAGATAGCTCCAAGGACATAATGACACATAATAGATTACATCTTGCATTGAAAGAAATAAAGCCGATCGCGATTAGGACAAGGTACAAACGTCTATCAATGTTTCAGAATTTTTTATAGCATTTGAATAATGAGAATTTTATTTTACACATCATATACATTGTTATATATAAATGTTTAATTCGGTTTTTCACATTGAAACTAATCAAAATTTGTTCTCAATGAAAATTACCGAACTTCGTTGAAGTTAATTGTCACCTCTCGGCTCTCGGACAAAAACGCGGCCTGTCTCACGGCCGGTCTCACGGCCGTGCCTCAAGAAATTCACCTCCTGGACAAAAACGCTGCCTGTCTCACGGCCGGTCTTACGGCCGTGCCTCAAGAAATTCACCTCTCGGACAAAAACGCGGCCTGTCTCACGGCCGGTCTCACGGCCGTGCCTCAAGAAAATCACCTCTCGGACAAAAACGCGGCCTGTCTCACGGCCGGTCTCACGGCCGTGACTCAAGAAATTCATCGTACATGTAATATCTTCCAAACTACTTAACCGATTTCAATGAAACTTGGTATATTTAACATGAATATAGTAATTTTTAAATAGCAACATAGTTTTTCGATAAAGTATAAAAACAAACAAAGGGCTAGACACAAAATTTAATTCGACATCTGTGATCAATTTTACAACACCATATTATAGTTTTTGTGCTCGGAAATGTATTGTCCGCTAGAATGGAAAATGGTTGCCAGCCTATATCTAGTTTATAAATTTAGATTGCGGGCGCTGCAGTCTGCACGTGGTCATTTGAAATTCTCGAACCTTGCCTTATTATTATTTGCCAATTTTGACCTTAAATTGTTACTAGGCATCATGGCCGATGCAGGAAAAATATTATTTGGTAAAACTGTTGACGATAATGTGAAGGTGAGTCCAGTTGGATCAGCATGAGATGATGAGCGCAGAGCGGATGATGAGATCATGAGTTGACTGATGAGCCTTACCTACTTATTTACCTAGATACCTAGGAAGTAATTCATTTAGCATTAATCTTGCAGTTCCAGAAATGGTAGGAACTAGGAATTATTATGGAGTATGAGTGCTCTAGTTGTGGCACAAAAAGCAGATGTATTTCATGCTAGTGCTAGATACTAGATTATAGTAGATAGCTAGGATTGTAATTTTGTAATTTTGCTAGATAGGATTGATAGGATGGTGAATGACCAAATGTATAAAAAAATTGTCACTTTGAAGCTACAAGATTTCATTTGTAAGTAGATAAATTCCAATCATAGACTTTTCCCAATTTATTTTTTTGTAAAAAATGACAAAAAATCTCATTTTTGCCCACAATTTTCGAAAATCACCATTCGCTAGTGAAATCATCATTTTGCCCTGTAATTTGGAAAAATTCTGCCCAGTATTGACCACTGAAAATGTTCAGATTGAAATTCAGATACTTTACTTTACCCAAGATTAGGATAATTGTATAGGGTAAACGCGGTATATTCCGACACATTAAGGACGCATCGAGAAATGAAAAACTATAAAAAACTGTATGCGTTACGTAATTTCTGTTGGCTTCACGTAACTCACAAAACACCGGACTAGGGTAAACACGGTATATTCCGACATCGTAGGTAATTCCGTCACTTCTCTAGTTTTTCCTTTATATTAAGCTTTGTTTTAGTTCCATCATCAATGTAGGGTAAACGCGGTATATTCCGACATCGTAGGTAATTCCGTCACTTCTCTAGTTTTTCCTTTATATTAAGCTTTGTTTTAGTTCCATGCGTTCATTGATGGTTGAAATGGTGACGTCATACATTTGCGTGTCGAAATACTGCAAAAACACTAGGTCTTGGCCATCTAGCGGGAAAATATTGAGATCCAAAGAGAGACAATGCATGCCACGTGCATAGTGGCAAACCAGAGATTTTTTAGTATCAGTTCATTTTTAATTTCCTCATTTACTCAAGATTTAAAGCAATTTATTATGTATGATAAAACTGGTATCCATGATACTTCACTGGTCTACTTATAGGACTCAAAAATGAACTTGAGGGAGAGTCTAAAAAACTCTCTGCTTTGTCACTATGGCCACGTGGTCAGAGTGGAAATCTAAGATTAGAGGTTCACTTAAAAAAAAGCGTTCCGCCTTGAAAAAAAACGTTCCAGGCAAGTGGCAACTAGAAACAGGTTTGCAGGTCGTCAGAAATCGGCCTCGGCATGAACGTTACGTCAGGCAACACAGAGAAAATCCCAATATTGTTAATTGTGCGTGTCACTCACGGATAAGCAAGATGAATCTACTGAAAGACACGTTGTGCTCAGTAGAACACGTTGTGCTCAGTAGAAGTTACAAGGTCGCTACTGACACCAGTAGAAACTCATCACTCACAGACCACAGTCACCGATGCGCAAGGAAGATCTTGGGAAGGCTGCTTAAGCTTTGCGCCCCACATGAACGTTTCCGAGGTCGCCGGTAGAGACGCGTCACTCTCCGGTGAGCAAAGGATATCTTGAGGAGGCCTCACAACGTTGCAGCTGGTAAAGGATGTACTCTTGATTCTGAAAAAAGTTCCATTAGATCTTGCCGATATACTTGAATGCAAAAGTCGCCTATATACGAGTTGATTAACTGTTGCTAATCTGTTGCATTGTTGTTGCACTGTTAAAATCTGTTGCATTGTTGTTGCACTGTTGCTAATCTGTTGCATTGTTGTTGCACTGTTGGTAATCTGTTGCATTGTGTTGCACTGTTGGTAATCTGTTGCATTGTTGTTGCACTGTTGTAAATCTGTTGCATTGTTGTTGCACTGTTGCTAATCTGTTGCATTGTGTTGCACTGTTGTTAATCTGTTGCATTGTTGTTGCACTGTTGTTAATCTGTTGCATTGTGTTGCACTGTTGGTAATCTGTTGCATTGTGTTGCACTGTTGGCAATCTGTTGCATTGTTGTTGCACTGTTGTTAATCTGTTGCATAGTGTTGCACTCTTGTAAATCTGTTGCATTGTTGTTGCACTGTTGTAGATCTGTTGCATTGTTGTTGCACTATTGTAAATCTGTTGCATTGTTGTTGCACTGTTGCTAATCTGTTGCATTGTTGTTGCACTGTTGCTAATCTGTTGCATTGTTGTTGCACTGTTGGTAATCTGTTGCACTGTTGTCGCACTGTTATTAATCTGTTGCGCTGTTGTCCCGTTGCTCAGTGGAGGTGGTCTTCCGAAGCGAGCGTGATCCCGCGGCCCTGACTTACTACTGGGAGACGTGGCGAGACATCGCCGGCAAGCCGACCAAGCCTTACTTCGTCGACTACGTCGGCTGGATGAACATGGCCGCTACAGACGATGCTAATGGTGCGAAATGCAGTATAATATAATATAATATGATATAATATAATTAAATATAATATAGTATAATATAATATAATATAATATAATATTTGTCGTTCATTTTTTAATAGATTCAGATGGAGATAACAAGTGTAATTTATTATTTAATATTTTGTTAAAAAAATCATGTATCATCCGCTTTATTTTTATTAATGGCGCCTTAAAAGTGAATGACCAATATGACCAATATACCCAATATGACCAATATCACCAAAATTGAATGTGTTTTACAATTCGAACAACATGACTGAGAGATGCACGACATGACAGGCTTCGCAGACGCGGGCGAGATGTGGCTGCAGCCGTACACGGCGCCGGGCTACACGACAGACGACTTCAAGTCGGAGGTCGAGCAGCTGTGGGAAGATCTTAAGCCTCTCTACGTGAAGCTGCATGCAAGTTAAGTTTGAAGCGCTGACGCAATACGACTCACCACGTGTCGGATGTTGCCACACAAAGTGACGGAATATAGGGATTTGGTAGGTTTCCATTCTAAAGGCGTTTTAATAAATATGGCAACATTTTGTGACGTTTCATCGTTGCTGACGCGTAGTGAAGTGTTTTGAGTCATGTGAAGGCAACAGAACTTACGTAACGCATACGGTTTTTTTTATAGTTTTTCATTTCTCGATGCGTCCTTAAAGTGTCGGAATATACCGCGTTTACCCTACGCGTCAGCAACGATGAAACGTCACAAAATGTTGCCATATTTATTAAAAAGCCTTTAGAATGGAAACCTACCAAATCCCTATATTCCGTCACTGTGTGTGGCAATATTCGACACGTGGTGAGTCGTATTGCGTCAGCGCTTCAAATTTAACTGATAGGTACATAATGCCAACATCCACATGGTCAAATTCCGTTTGCTGTGTGAGCTGTATTGGGATACAACACGGCTTTGAATTAGAACACTAATGAATATTGAAAACTACTTAATTACGTTTTAATTAACAACTATTAGGCTTTTAATTAAGCAAATTTCAATTTTTGTACAAAGCTTGGAACGATCTGTGTGTGTCCAATTCAAGTTGTGTCGGAATTAGTTTTCATGTGTCTAAATCCATTTCTCAACTTGATCATCTATTAATTTATTTACGACTTGAAATCAGCGAATACAAGTATACTTAAAGGATTGCTAATATATTCACAGACGTATTTAAAAGTCTCAAACCATAATATTCTTCCTATAAGAAACGGTTATTCACTATTTGGTAGAGCAAGGTCAACTGTCAAATTTGACACTTTTTTCGATGATCTCACTGGGTAGTGTGCATTGTCTCTCTTTGGATCTCAATATTTTCCCGCTAGATGGCCAAGACCTAGTGTTTTGGCATTAGTTCGATGCACAAATGTATGACGTCACCATTTCAACCATCAACAAACGCATGGAACTAAAACAAAGCTTAATATAAAGGAAAAACTAGAGAGGTGACGGAATTACCCACGATGTCGGAATATACCGCGTTTACCCTAGTACCTATCTGTTAATTCACAATTTTATATCAATACATTTTGATGGTACATGATGTAATTTTCATGTTTCTTACAGGCTGGCATGGCTCGAGTACATGGCGTACTAAAACTTGCATTGGAGCTGAGAGGACTGCACAATTACAGTGATTATTCTGGTGTCAATGCTGCCATCAAGAACTTCAACAAATCTATCCTAACTTGGTAAATAATCTCATGAATTTTAATTGTCCAATTCTAAATTGTCAATTTCTGTGTTTATTTGTGAAACTTCAGTTAGGAATTTTTTTATTTAACCCTCAGATTATTATAGAAGATTCTTGTTTTAGTGAGTGGTAGCACTGCAATGTTATTTGAATAATCACTTGAAATTAATTTTTTTAGCCACATAAACTCCTTGGATATGAAGTTCAGCATAAGAACCAAACAGCAAGATATTTTCAGAATCTTCTTTAGTTGTTGATTGAATCAAGTACCGGTAATAGCAAAATTTTATAAAATCTTCTTCAATTGTTGATTGAATGAAGTAATGGCAAAATTTTATAAAATCTTCTTCAGTTGTTGATTGAATGAAGTAATAGCAAAATGTATATAGTCTTCTTCAGTTGTTGATTGAATGAAGTAATAGCAAAATTGTATTATTTGTTTGTTTGTGCAGCATGCAGGACATACTACAACATGAGGATGTCAAGACAGAGCTTCTGGCAGACGTGCCTCTCGTGGACAAGCTGGAGATGCTCAGAGACGCCAATGACTGCCTCCTAGAACGAATTGTGATAACATTACACTCTAAGTTTGTCATGTTGCCTGTATAGCTTTCTGTGTTATATTTATGTGCACTGACTTTATTCATTAGCCCAGTTTGCAATATTATATGTGCTACAACCTGTTGGTAATATATTGTAGATCTATAGAGTTTTTATGAAAAAGTCCATTGTTTGTCCTGAAAAAAATGTCTCTTTTTCTCAATTAGAACACGGAAATTGATGAAGCTGCTGGGATCAGGCGCGAAGGAACAATGGAGCTCACTATTCCTTCTGTCACAACTCTCCAAGTTGGTATCTAACCAATCATTTAGTTCCCTCCAATGTTGGAACCGTTTAATTTTCAAAGATATAAGAACACACAATGATGAATGCATGCACATAACAATCATTATTTTGCATTTTTATTGTCAGTCACTTTCCTGGTGAATTAATTTTTTTCTCATAACTTGCTGTTTTTTTACTTAAGGTAAATTGATATGATGAAGCTTGAAGTGATTTACATTACAGTACATGTTACAGTATTATTTTGCATTGTGTACAACCATTTCTTATCAAAAATTTAATGCAAGATGACTTCAATGAAGAACATAACACAGGGTTATTCTAAATAATAGGCCCAATTTATTAAACTGTTATTTATTTGGGTATAAATTCAAAATGAACAATTTATATACCAGTGGAGAGAGAAAGATTTTTTACATATTTATAAATGTTAAATATGTTCCCCTTGTGCTGCACGGCAAACATCTACACGGTAGCCAAATTCGTTCCACACACGAGAAAGCATATCTTCTGTCACTGAGTGCACCGTAGCAGTGATACGGTTCTTCAGACCAACCAGAGTTGCTGGTAGAGGCGGGACATAAACAGAGTTGCTGGTAGAGGCGAGTAAACAGAGTTGCTGGTAGAGGCGGGATGTAAACTGCTTCCTTGATGCAAGCCCATAAGAAATAGTCGCATGGGGTGAAATCAGGTGACCTAAGCGTCCAGAAGTGTAGAGCCAGATCTTCATTTCTTTTGCATTCTAACATTTAGATGTTATGTGACCTGCCATATTGATGTTAGCCTTGCAACACTAGGATGATGTATTGAGCATTTTTAAATGTAAAACCCATCAAATTTTTTGTCTTCCCATTGGTGCATAAATTGTTCATTTTGTCCTTATACTTAAAAATAAATACATTGGGTTCAACCTGTAGAGTATCCTGCAAAGGCAAGATTGAGTTTCATTTCCATTCAAGCAGCATAGAATTGTAAAAATTTCCAAAACTTAGCTCAAATAACAAATTATGTTGTGACAAAAAAATATGTGAAAGAAAGTTCATCTTTAATGAGTGTTTTTTTTTCTAATTTAAAAACCTTACGGCAATTGAAGATCTGTAATAAAATAACCCTTGAATGTGCTTTATTATTGAAAATTCTGTTTGTACGACAGGCTCGACGATCGATCCTAAGTACTGAGAATGAGTCACCAGTCAACTCATCTATGATTTTGATGGCATCTAAGAACGTACAGAAGCCTCAGTTATTCTTTTCGGAGACAATAGATAACTCGGCCAAGACTCCCTTCATGCCCATCATAACGGAGAAGCCCAATAGCCTCAAGCCGCTGGCCATAATGCTCTGCGCTACAGAACAGGGCACGGAATAGTAAGTTTGTTTAGGACTGATGATAGTTACGAATTAGTGTTAGGTACAAAGTTTTGTAAGATAGGCACATTGCAGCCAAAGATCTGTTAATTATTTTTTGGATGAAATTGCCATGGTTTATATTCAGCTTGTATAAATGGCCTCAATAGTGCTAGCTCATCGAGAAGTCGTTCATAGTGCAGCAAGTGCCATAATAGTGAGCAGATAATGTATCAATTTGCATATCGATTTCCTGTATTTGGATGAAAAATATGTACCTATTTACATTGGTATTTTTATTTATGTCTAGCCTATGGGATCTGCAATGAGTTAGTGCAGAAGTTGCGGTGTTATTGACATGAATATTTCATGCTACTCGGGTCATTGCTGGTATGAGTGTTCTAAAATTTTTCTCAACGCACCAGTTTGCAATGTTATTGCAAACTGTTATTTAATTTTATGGCTTATTAAATAACAGTGCAATATTGTTGAAGGAGGAATGCTGAAAAAATGTGTTGATTAAACTTATGACTTGAGCAGCTACTCACATCCCTACCAGTACGAGCTGGAGCATTGGACTCCCGATCTGAAGGCCTTGTCTGTGCCTGTAGAGCCTGTTGTGCCACCACCCCTGGACGAGGTGCCACTCGTCATGGTTGACACTGTGGAAGCACTGCAACAAACTGTGCAGGAGCTCAAACTTGCCACACACATTGCGGTCGATGTCGAGGTATTATTGCTAATATTGCCTGATGTCTGCCCACATACTGAATTGAACGACAATGTTTTGATCTTTCATCTTTTATTATAATATTCTTGACTTCATTTCAAATGTATACTTTAATTCCATGAACTGAGCTAAATTTGAGGATATTCAATTTAATTTTAATTAAGTTAAATGTTGATAAATTCTTTGAACCTTTATTTCTGCTCTGCTTAATATTGATATTATACTACCTATTGCAGCACCATTCGTTCCGGTCATACCTTGGGCTGACGTCATTGCTGCAAGTGTCGACGCGTTCTAAAGATTACATCATCGACCCTATCAAGCTCAGAGGCAAGCTGACCTCTCTCAACGAGGTCTTCACTCATCCTAAGATAACCAAGGTGAGATGAAACTTGCATTATGTCATCATCATCTCAAATTTGGCCGTGGAAAAATGATTATGAATATTATCAATGGTCTGTGTACAGTTGCCTTTATTTATAGCCTGTATGCAGTGGCTTTCAATTATAGCCTGTGTTTGTTGCGTGTAATTATAGCCAGTGTACAGTTACTTGTAATTATAACCTGTGTACAGTCGCCTGAAATTGTGGTGTACCATCGCCTGTAATTATAGCCTTTGTACGGTTACTTGTAATTATTACCTGTGTACAGTCGCCTGTTAATTGTGGCCTGTGTACAGTTGCCTAGGCTGCCTTGAATTTCATTTTTTAAGGAATTAGTCGCTACTCGCCATTTCCCTGGCAATGTGTGTGAATGATGAACCCTAAGTAATATAGGCAAAAAAGTTAGGAACCACTTAACAAAGCTACTTGAAATGCTTACATGATTCTAATCACTGGAAACTATGTATATATATATCTGTGAATTTTTTAAATTGCCGAAGTAGAAAAACATTCTTACATACTGGAAGCATATCAATCTCTCACTTTTGACTATAATTGATCATGCTCGATTGGCTTTGTTCGACGAAGCTAAAATAACCAAATCATGTAACTATGACCCAATGTAATCCCAAATCTCTAAGGACCCAAAATCTCCAAGTTGGCTCCTGTAAAGTTCTCTGTTGTGAGGTTACCATCGACGTGAGTTATATTCTTATTATTTGTGTTTTGTTCAGGTGCTGCACGGCGCAGACTATGACGTGTTGTGGCTGCAGCGTGACTGTGGTCTCTACCTCGTCAATCTATTTGACACGCACCTGGCTTGTGTGGTGCTAGAGTTCCACCAGCGCTCCCTTGCGTACCTCCTCAATGTCTTCTGTAACGTGATGGCTGATAAGCGCTACCAACGCGCCGACTGGAGGCTCAGGTACGTTCATTTAAAATTATCTTGGACCATACTATCACAGTTAGTCACGAGTTTGTAGCTCCTTCACGGAATCACTGACTGCTTTTCAAGCTAAACCTAGCAATCACAGACCAGAAATGGGCTGCTACGTGTACTTGAGCAAGTTTGGATAGTACGGACCCTGTTTACATCAAATGATATTGGTTTTGCACAGAGCCCTTCAGGAGCCGTTGTAAAACACATCATGTAACTGTATCCGATGTCACGGTTTGGCCTTGTATTCATTATCTGTCTAGGGTAACATTGGATGCTGATGCTGAATTAAATTTGTATTTATTGCATTGTGGGCGCGACCATCATTGGTAATGAAGTGCTCGTTTCTCAGACCCCTGCCTCGGAATTTCATCGAGTATGCACGGCAGGACACGCACTATCTCCTCTACATCCACGACCTGCTGCACAACCTGCTGCTGGAGCGCGCAAACGGCGCCACCAACCTGCTGCAGGCCGTCTACGACCGCAGCACCGCGCTCTGTCTCACGGTCTGTGCACGGTCTCACGATGTGTGTTTCACTGTGCGAGTCTCGAGCAAGTCTCACTGTGCAGAACTTGCTTTGTCGGTGGTTATATGCTGTCATCTGTGCACATTCTCGCATTATAATGCTAATTCCATTCCATATTTCAAACTTCTTTCTGTTCAAATTTCAGCTTATGAAGTAATTTGGGACTAACCATTCGCAATATCATACTAGATCTCACCTAACGCTACATAAATGGGGGCCAAGACTGCCCTGTAAACTTGATTGTTTTTGAGAAATTTTCTTATCTAACAATTTCAGTAAGGTTGTTTGAAGAGTTGCTTCACTATCTGCCGTCGCTCCTATTTTTGCTTAAGTCTTGAGCGTAATTCTTGGTGATGTAATAACTTGAGAGCTGTTTTCAGTATTCAAGTCATATTGTGTCCACTGAAATTTTGAGACGCTCGCGATTTTTTTTCTAAATTTTAAAATAGGTTGCTGGTGATGTGCCCTATTCCATCCTCGCCTTATAGGCATAGAAATAAAATTGACAAAAATGAATTTTCATGTTTATGTTGCATAAACTGTACATATTTTATTGTTGCTCTCATTCAGGGCCGGAAGTTTAACTTTTAAATGATTTCTGTATCAACATAAGCTGCGATCGAAATCGTTCAACTAATAAGTAGGAAATATCATGAACTGAATATATTTTTCTTGTACACAGCGATATGAGAAGCCAGTGGTGAGCGAAGACAGCTACTTACAGCTGTACAACCGCAGCCGTAAGACCTTTAACAATCAGCAGCTGCATGCCCTGCAGCGACTGTACCTGTGGCGCGACAAGACCGCTCGCGAGCACGACGAGAGTGTCGAGTGAGTGGTGACGAGAGTGTCGAGTGAGTGGTGACGAGAGTGTCGAGTGAGTGGTGACGAGATTGTCGAGTGAGTGGTGACGAGAGTGTCGAGTGAGTGGTGACGAGAGTGTTGAGTGAGTGGTGACGAGAGTGTTGAGTGAGTGGTGACGAGAGTGTTGAGTGAGTGGTGACGAGAGTGTCGAGTGAGTGATGACGAGAGTGTCGAGTGAGGGGTCACTAGAGTGTCGAGTGAGTGGTGATGGCCTGAGTCGATTTCTCTCTACCTGACCAACATTGACAAAATTCAGAGCTAACCTTGAGTTTCTGCTCTCGTTCAATCAAGGCACTGTTTTCAAGTATCCCGTTTAAATTTAACACCAAGACTAACTCTCTCAAAGTTTTAGTTTGTTGAATTATTAGTGTATCACTAATGTTATTAACATTGTTTATCTTGTGTACACTACCAGCTATTAGTACTACATTCTTGTCTAATGCGTGTGTAAATGACTAGGCATTACAAGCACATTATGTATTGTACGTGCACACTATTAGCCATTACTGCCACATTATATATTGTACGTGTACAATAGAGATCATCCATTACTATCACACTATGTATTGTACATGTACACTATCAGCCATTACTATCACATTATGTTTTGTACATGTACAAAGCAAGACATTAGTTGTCTTTATGGTAGTACATGGTAACCTCATTTGTTTACTTGTATTCAGTTTCGTGGTGCCGCGTCACATGTTGCTGCACATCGCCGAGGTGCTGCCCCGGGAGGTGCAGGGCATCCTGGCCTGCTGCAACCCCATCCCGCCCCTCGTCAAGACCGAGCTCCTCACGCTGCACTCCATCCTCAGGGACGCTCGGGAGCAGCCTGCCCTCAAGGTTCCATTTATTTGCACAATGATTAGGAGGCAGGATTATTCATTGCACTGAGTTAGCATCCTCTTTCCCCAGTCATTTGACCTGTCATGATCATTTTATTTATTGGTTGCATTACAATTTACGCATTACAATTGGACGTCTTACGTGGATATTATCATGGATAAATATATGCACATTATCCTTTCGACAAGAATTTTAAAGCAAAGTAAGATACCTAGCGACATTACTCCAAGTAATGTTTTATTTAATGAATTTTTATTTAAAGAATTTAAAAGCTCATTAGCTTTTGAATTCTTGATGAACTTGCAATTTAAGCAGACTTATTATACAAGTGCTACTTATCATTTGAAGTTAATTGAAATGTTTATGCTCGGTGAAAAAGAATTTTTGTTGCGGATATTATCAATTGAAATCATCTATATCATTTGAAGTTGTCTTTATCATTCTCGTTTGAAGATATAATTGTAAGTTATAATTATCATTTAAATTTAAAATGATTTGAATGTTTGTGCAGACGCTGGAGCGTCGTCTGGACGTGACCCCCACGGTAGCAGCGAGCAGCAGCAGCACGCGATGCCTCCACGACCTCTCCAGCCTGCACGACTCTGGCTCCCTTCCTTGCTTGCTGGATGGTTGGTCATTGCTATCTTTTATAATGCCTTTATATATTTGCATAAGTTTTACCATTTCAATTATGATTGGCTGGGAGAGATAGTCTATGCTCTATAGTCTATACCATCCTATTTATTTGCACTTGCTTCTCAAATTAAGACTTTTTTTTGCAATGCGCCATTGAGTTTCCTTGGGTCCAGGTACGGCGACTGGTTCCTTGTCCGAGTCGCTGTTTGGGGATCGACTGATTGACGAAGAAGTGATTGTCTGTCGCAAGCCCTCGTCTGATCTTCTTAGTGGTCATCAGGTGGGCCATTTGTGTGTATATTGACTGTACACTACCACTAATGCAGTGGTTCTATTGGCTGTACACTACCACTAATGCAGTGGTTCTATTGGCTGTACACTACCACTAATGCAGTGGTTCTATTGACTGTACACTACCACAAATGTAGTGGTTCTCTTGGCTGTACACTACCACTAATGCTGTGGTTCTATTGATTGAACACTACCACAATGCAGTGGTTCTATTGATTGTACACTACCACAGGTACAGTCGTTATATTGACTGTACGCCACCACAAGTGGTACAGCATGTACAGTGTCTGAACGAAGTGCAAAACGTTTATCTATTTTATCGTGTCATCCTAATACAAATAGTACGCAGTTGATTTAACCAACACTAAATACGCTCTTAATTTTGGTGACAAATTTTAAGGAGAAATTATCGCCCTCAGAAATATTTGATCTGGAATTGCCCTCTTTTTGCAGAAAATTGAGCCGAAGAAAATTTCTACATCGTGTACAAAGGGATTCTTGAGTCCGTACGATCGATACCGCCTCTATGTCGACTCCAAAGTGAAGCTCCCAGTATTCGAGGGCGACGATGTGAAAACATCAGTTCAGAAGCCATCTGTTCAGAAGACTTCCACTAGCAGCAAACAGGTTACAGAAGACGACAGAATATCGCGCGTGCGAGATCATTTCTTGAGTTTGGCCCAAATAACTCCCCCTCCTGCACGCGCTAGTCGCCCCATGGATGCTGATGACCTGCGGGTGCAAAGACTTCTCGCTGAAGTAAGGAACTCTGTCATGAATTCCAAGCCGCCCCCTCTACGTCAGGACTCGGACAGCAGCAGCAGCAGTAGTAGTAGCAGTTCCAGTGATTCTAGTGATACGGAGGATGAAAAATCTGGAGACATGAATGAAGCTGTTAATGTTACCAATGGGGTTGCAGAAGTTAGACCTCCCAGCAGCAGCAGCAGTAGTAGTAGTAGTAGCAGCAGCAGCAGTAACAGCTCTAGTAGGAGCAACGATGCAGTTTCCACGTTAAGAAATGAATCAAACCAGCCATCAGAGTCTCCTAAACACAGCGCTGAAACGCAAGAAATCGACGATGCTCTCAAAAAAGCTTCAATAACTCATCTTGTTGAGGATTATTCAGCTATGTCCACAGACGAGGGACCTCCTAAGAAAAAAGTGAAACTTTCTGCAAAAAGTAAACAAAAATCAAAATTAAAGTTTCGCAAGAAGGAGTCTACATCTGCTGATGTTTTACCTAAAATAAAGGATGACAAGTTAGCTCAGGATATTAAGGAAGAACATAATCCGATAATTGATACTCCTGCAGTAATGACTACGAAAAAAAATAATCAGGGCAAGCGTTCAAAAGGCACTAAAAGAAAATCTTCTGAGATGCAGATTAATCCCTTCAACTATGACAGTGAAAACTTCAAAATGTTTCAGATCTCCAAAAAACAGAAGAAGAACATGGTCCGTGCCTCCACTAAGGTATTTCACTCACAAGCCATTATTTTCCACTCATTTCAGTTAGTTGCTGAATATGTGCATATTGATTTTCTCTCTTGTGTTGCTCAATATTTGCTTTTCCAAGCTGAGAAATTTTTTCCGTGGGCTCGTCTTCCTTCATTTTGAGTTACGGGCACATAAGCTAACATGCCCGTAATCCCTCTAGCTTCTACGATGAATTTTTTCGAATAGAAGATCATAATTTTTTGCGATTAGATATAGTAAATAGCTGCCGCATAGTCATAACCTTCTCTCACGATCGTCAATATATAGAACAAAGCGTTAAAAGGCAGCATGGTACTGACTACTGATAGTCGTTGCTCGATGTTATCCTGATGTTTCACTACACTTTTAGTTTAATTAGGCATTAAGCAAAGTAAACAAAATAATGTATTTAAAAACAAAGAAATTGAATTAAAGAAGCTAATTTAAATTAATAAATAATATTATAAGAAATAAAGTAAATTAAAAGAAAGAAATAGAGTTTCGAAGAAATAAGTTGATTTACTGTAATGTAATTCTAGTGAATAATGCAATTAATTAAGATCTAACTAACTGGATCTTGTTGCTCGACAGGGTCGTGGTGGCAAGAAGCCCTGCAGAGGAGCTGGTCGCACCTGAGCACGACTCGTACACTCAGGGAAAATGAGTGAACATTGTCCAAATAGCGATGCACTCATTGCCTCCTTAGAGTGGGTCATTCTAACCCAGTTTGATCTGTCAAAAAAGTTTATGCGAGCTACGTGCGGAAAGCGTCATTATTTGGTCACTACGCCATGTTACCTAGTGTCATCAACCTATGCAGCACTAGACATCCTTCACTTGTTAACCATCAAATAGTTTGATAAATACACCAGGAAACTTTTCTGTTCTAATTTTTTTGCTCATTGCAAATCAATTTTGTTTTCTTTTTTATGATATTTTTTTCTCTTATGATAGAAAATTTTTCGACAACCAATTGCTGGTTTGTATGAACAAGTCCATGGTAATGATTGGCGTTCATATTTAATGCTTGAAAAAAGGCAGGGGAATATTCATTAATAAGTTTCGTTTACATGTGAAAGAATTTGTCTTTATTTACATCTCGTTATATAAGAAGTGTCGGGTTCTTCACGCTGCCCCAAGTCAAGTAATCTCCATGGCTTACATTTAAATTTTTGTGATTCTTCGTTACGTTTGGCACATTCAGAACTAAAATAATACATATCCTTATGTTACTTAAAGCTAAAATAACTTGACAAACAAGCCGGCGACCGTCTCCTCTTTTTCTTTAACTAACGAAATTTTGATCGTTAGCAATGAATGATTTGATAGATGCAAGTATGAAGATTTGAAAATATTAAATCTTGTTCTAACTATCGGGATATTCGCTTTTATTCTACCTCTTATAACTCTTTGCTTTTCAAACTACCCATTGATTGATGGGTAGTTTGAACGTATGTGATACGTGAACGTATCCGATGACGTAAACGTATCTGATTTTAACATTTCTGTAAACTCATGCTTGGGCATCAAATGTTGCCTCACCCACTTAACAATATTAAATATTCTTGGCTTGATTAATGTAATATAAACAGATTTAATTTAGAAATGATCCACAGTTCTTGGCCAGTGATTGCGGGAACACATTATTTCTTCAAATCTCTTAATTCCTGAACTTCCTCAAGAAGTGGGAGCGTTAGTAAGACCGTGTAAGGGAAGACATTATTTCTTCAAATCTCATAGTTCCTGAACTTCCTCAAGAAGTGGGAGCGTTAGTAAGACCGTGTAAGGGATTACATTATTCCTTCAAATCTCGTAGTTCCTGAACTTCCTCAAGAAGTGGGAGGTGTCGCGCCGCCACACTCGGGGCTCTGCCTCGTGGTGCAGCGGTGTAGCTTCCTTCGTCGGCGCGTCGTGAAGCATGCGCTCCGGGGGCGTGGGTGCCGCCCAATGCATCGTCTGGATAATTAATAATTTAATTAATAACGTCATCAGTACATATAACAATTCACGCGGCATGAGCCAATAAAATTTGTTTTCTTGTTGTACGCTGATAAGTTCCTGATCTATTTATCCTATTTTTCTTGCTGAAAAAATGTTTTTTGACTCGTGCCATTGTCAGAAAAGTCATAGGAAGGATCGTGTTGACACACGCCACTGACCTGGCCCCGCTGTTGCATATTGCGCCACGTATGCCGCGGCATGGCTTCAGTCGTGTTGACACACGCTACTGACCTGGTCCCGCTGTTGCATGTTGCGCCACGTATGCCACGGTATGGCATCAGTCGTGTTGACACACGCCACTGACCTGGCCCCGCTGCTGCATGTTGCGCCACGTATGCCACGGCATGGCCATGCCACAGCTCCTCCATTTGTCGTACAGGGCGCGGCTGGTCGGGTCCATGAGCACCTCCCTGGCTTCCTGGTGACCATGAGGGATTTTCATGTGTACATCATGCATGGCAGTATGCAATCATGAATTATGTACACATTATGCACGATTCGTTTATTACTCGCACATGTCTAGGAATATAAAAATTTTTTCAATGATTAAGGAAAGATCATGTTTCGTACACATCATGTTCAGGGATCGAGCACAAATCATCGCTTAACTTACGTGCATTAGATCTTCTGTATGGAAGAGACAAGCATTCCATTAAATCGCGCATCAAGATGTATAGTCAATATGGACTAAGCAGTCATTTAATGGGGACAATTATTACCCGACGAGGTTAACGAGTTCTTGAGGGCACCAAGATTTGAGGGGTGAGTTGCAGGTTCGAGCATCATATAGCTGTGAAATTCTAGGATGCCGAAAATCAGCATCAGGCCAGTCTGTGTCTTATCTTTGAATCTGAAACTACTGTACTAATTATCATCTTGATTATATACCAAGTTTACACTCTCAACTCACAAAACAGAAGTTGACAGTTGATCACCAATATCCCCATTACCTATACCGCGGTCACTACTTTTGATTTCGTGCTTCGTGTCGGAGGAGAGGAAGTTTTCTTGTACTGAGCCGAGGACGCAGTCGTAAACCACATGATTAACCCTTAAACAAGCCCTGAGGTAACCCTCAGGTTTGTTTTGGGTGGAAAAATGTTGTAACTTGTGTAGGTTAGGCCGGGAGAGCTTACCTTAGGCCAGATGAAGTGCGACCATGCATAACTTTAGCAAGCCTAAGTCGTGGGTGAGGAAATCCGGTGCTATGGTATTAAGCAGGAGTCTTCATAGGCTGATTTACCCGCTAGGTTTCTTAACTACGGAACGGAATATGAACTTAAGTGTGAAGTTAGGCAATGCAGGCCTCCGGCATGAGCCCCTATTGAATGAGTCTTTTCCTTAAAATTCACTGAACCTTCAACGCAGGGTTGTGTATTTTTGTGCAAATTTTAACTAACGTCTGTAGTTGACTTCAATGTATCTCACGTCTTGCTTTTACGTGTTCGATTATTACTTTCTATGTGATAAATTGGCAATTCCAAGTTTATTATTGCCCAAAATATGTGCTTTCCCATTTCTTGTCGAAATTTCGCATCATAAATTAACCTCAATTTCTATTCATAGTATTTTTCGCCGTAAATTAATGTTCCAGCTCATCAAAAAAAACTGAATTTGCATGCAAATTATATGCCTTTCAAGTGTACCCCTTATTTTCATGTCGAAGGCATGCAATTCTCGAATTTCTCGCCCGGATGTGCATCCGCTCTTAGCTACATCATCACATTCTGTCTCCGCTGCCTCTGCCAGTTAGAGTCTTTATTTATTTATTATTGGCTCGTCATTGTCTAATAACTATTCATTATATGGCAATGATAATCGTCGCAGTAAACGATTGTTAAAAGCTTTATTTTTTTTTTATTCTTCCAGGTTTTCAGATTACACTCAATCGAGTACATATCAACTCGATCGTGTTAAAGATACCATTGGCGATTCCTCCAGTCCCAACGTTAATCCTGTCCCTGCGTTCACCCAGTCCCAGCTTCCCCCAGTCCCAGCGTTCCGCCAGCTCCACTCGTAACCACCTGGCTACTTTGCAGATTCCGATAAGGATTTCCAAAATTATTTGTGGGGTTTCCAACTCCCAACTCGCTACTCCAACCAAGGTGATCTTAACCAATCTGTCAAGCTACGTTATCTCAGTGTAGATGCTTTTAAGGTATACCGGAAGAGTGGTCAGCTTGTAGTTTTATCTCTAATAACTCGAGGCGGTCACCTGCAGGAGTTGGAACTGGCGCAGAGCCTCGGCGTTGCCAGGGTTCTTGTCAGGATGATGGAGTATGGCTCTGCTCCGGTACTCCGCCTGAATTTGATCAGCCTGCACGGAACAAGTTACCTCTGTCACCAAGGTTGCCAGATGGGCCTTTTTCTGGCCAACTTGATCGATTTTGGCCTTATTCATATGAGTTACACTGCTTAAATATGCATATGTCTCAAACTTAATGTAATTTTGAAATAAAAAAAAACATAAAACTTGATTTTTTGCAATGCAGATTAAAAATTTACCGGTATATTGAATGTGAATGAAGGGCCATTATGGCCTTTTTTTCTCCAGCTGATATGGCCGTTTTCCTCGGACATCATCTGTCAACCGTGTTCGTGTTCTATTTCGTAATAATTTCCTGCGGTTGAGCTCCAAATTATTCATGTTTCTGAGTTTTGAATAAATTAGAAACCCTTACTTATCCATTTCTAATAAATTACCTCGGGAGGGAAGGGTGTACCATGTACAAAGCATGCAACTTCACTATTAACCTAAATGTAAATAATTTGATGCTCACGGAAGACGAAGAGTCGCATCCGATAACTTGATAGTAATCCACGTCTTCTTTTTTGTTATAATTTATTATGTCTTCCATCTTATGCAGAAGACACGAGCAGAACTGGCCTAACCTCACTCTGCTGAGTCTCCAGCTGGACTGGCGTGATGCGGAAAAAAACTGGATTTTTTCATTCACACTTGCTATGCAGCAGGAAATTCGATTTCTGTATTGTTACGCTGTTTTTTTGTATCAGTTCCGATGTATAAGATTGTGGCAACTAATAATAACGTGGTTTTTAATATCAATATGCTCAAATGATGACTGAAATTTTCTAGGCTATGCATGAAAATCGATGGGTTGGTAGCTATGGCACTGGCGCGCAACTGTTGCGCGCAATTTGTGATGGTGATGCCCATGGTTGAACTTATGTATAGGTTTAACCCTTGCGACGCCATTCCTATCTATAATATTTCGAAACAATGCAATTCTTAATGAAGAATCAGATGGTTTTGGGCGCATTCCTGTGGGCAATTTGGCTTTATACAGTCAGTAGGTGCAGTATTTTTTTTTTATTGTTTTAGAATAAATTGCTTTGAGTGCAATGCGACATATGTTTCGTTTCTGAAATATTGAAAAAAATACTTAAAATCATTGCATAAAATGGTCAACTATAGCCTCTACGATTACTTTTATCTAAGAGTCATTGCTTCTCATATGCAATGCAGATTTTGAAGCCAGTTTAAAAATCTTTTGGCATAGTTGAACAAACCTTCCTTCTATTATTATTGCCATCAGAATTATTCTTTATGTAATTTTTAATTGTTATACATCCCCTAATCATTAAAATAATTGAATCTAAAGGAAAACAAGCAATGTCTGCTAATTGAACAAATCCCTCTAATAAATAAGCCCCCAAAGTATCATAGCAGCGAAATGCATGTATAAATATTTTGATTGACTAAATATGGTAACATTGCTTCGGTGTTGCCGTTAACATTACGTGTCTCTATTCTCTAAGGCTGCAGTAGAGAGAAGGTTGCGAAGTGCGATAGACAAACCTTCCTCTTGTGTGTAACACTGTAACAGTGTAACTGAAGAACTTTCATTCCGTGTCTTTCAGCTTGGCATTAATTTGAAAGTATTTATTAAAGTTATGGATGACAGAAATTTTTCCTACAACAAAGAAGGCAGTGGATGTATCTGAATTCTGAAGTGCTGACTGGGCGACTGCGAGCGATCAGTGCGATGGTATAATAACTGGGATAAGCTCGAGTCAGTCGAGTGGACAACTGAACCAGTAAAGCAGTAATGGAGGAAATAATTTCATGAACCTATTAACAATTTAAGTTAAACGAAGAGTGATAGCAAATAGTTTTACATAAATTTTTAATTTGGCATATGCTTAACAAATTCATAGTGACAAACCAGAGCTTTTTTAGAATCAGTTCATTTTTAACTTCCTCATTTACCTAAGATTTAAACCAATTTCTTATGTATGATAAGGCTGGTATCCAGGATACTTTACTGGTCTACTTATGGGACTCAAAAATGAACTTGAGGGAGAGTCTAAAAAACTCTCTGCTTTGCCACTATGTTAACAATTATATTGCAAATCTGGAATACCTACCCGTCACCCGTGTGCCGTGTCCCGTGTCGTAACGAATTCTCTTGTACCTAGGCTGCACATAGTGGCAAAGCAGAGAGTTTTTTAGACTCTCCCTCGAGTTCATTTTTGAGTCCTATAAGTAGACCAGTAAAGTATCCTGGATACCAGTATTATCATACTTCAGAAATTAGTTAAAATTGGGAGTAAATGAGGAAATTAAAAATGAACTGATTCTAAAAAATCTCTGGTTTGCCAAATTGCCTAGGCATGCTGCTCTCTTGTACCTACCTAAATTTTGAGGTGATCAATGATCATATAATTCATATTACGTGATTTTACGTCACGCTGCAAGTCGTAACTTCATCACTGATTACTATGCTAATTTGTTAACTGACCTGTGACAAATGAACGAGAAATTTTACAAGTTGAAATTTTGCAGCTTCAAATATGGCAGGAATTAGGAAAGCACTGGTTGAGGTTGACCTGGTTTGGTGGTTGTGCCTTTCAAAATAGGTAGATAATTTCCAAATCACTATTTCCAAATTTCCAATTCGCCTCTAGGCTCTAACACTACTGTCAATACTCACTTCACTAGTGCGTGAGTCGTGACTATAGTCACAACTCACAACTTCACAAGCATGAAGCCACAAACTAGGGTAAACGCGGTATATTCCGACATTGTAGGTAATTCCGTCACTTCTCTAGTTTTTCCTTTATATTAAGCTTTGTTTTAGTTCCATGCGTTCATTGATGGTTGAAATGGTGACGTCATACATTTGCGTGTCGAAATACTGCAAAACCACTAGGTTAAAATATGGCAACATTTTGTGACGTTTCATCGTTGCTGACGCGTAGTGAAGTGTTTTGAGAGTCATGTGAAGGCAACAGAACTTACGTAACACATACGTTTTTTTTTATAGTTTTTCATTTTTTGATGCGTCCTTAAAGTGTCGGAATATACCGCGTTTACCCTATAGTCAAAACTGAGTGGGGACTGGGGGGAGCTGTGGAGTGTAGAAGAATTTAGTAATTTATTGGTTATGGTTTGGGACTTGGGAGCTATCATTTCTTTTTTAGCCATAAATTTATTACCTAATTACTATTTTCTCTAAGGCTCACAAATCACAATTCATCTAGGATAAACGTGGTATATTCTGACATCGTGGGTAATTCTGTCACCTCTTTAGTTTTTCCTTTATATTAAGCTTTGTTTTAGTTCCATGCGTTTGTTGATGGTTGAAATGGTGACATCATACATTTGCGTGTCAAACTACTGCCAAAGCACTAGGTCTTGGCCATCTGGCGGGAAAATATTGAGATCCAAAGAGAGACAATGCACGCTACCCAGTGAGATCATCGAAAAATGTGTCAAATTTGACAGTTGACCTTGCTCTATCAAATAGTGAATAACTGTTTGTATAGGAAGAATATTATGGTTTGAGACTTTTAAATACGTCTGTGAATATATTAGGAATCCTTTAAGTATACTTGATTTCAAGTGGTAAATAAATTAATAGATGATTAAGTTGAGAAATGGATTTAGACACATGAAAACTAATTCCATCAGAACTTGAATTGGACACACACAGATCGTTCCAAGCTGTGTACAAAAATTAAAATTTGCTTAATTAAAAGCTTAATAGTTGTTAATTAAAAGTGTAATTAAGTAGTGTTCAATATTCATTAGTGTTCTAATTCAAAGCTGTGTTGTATTCCAATACAGCTCACACAGCGAACGGAATTCGAACACGTGGATGACGGCATTATGTATCAGTAGAATTTGAAGCGCGGACGAATACGCCTCACCATGTGCCGAATATTGCCACACACAGTGACGGAATATAGGGATTTGGTAGGTTTCCATTCTAAAGGCTTTTAAATAAATATGGCAACATTTTGTGATGTTTCGTTGTTGCTGACACGTAGTGCGGTGTTTTGAGAGTCACATAAAGCAAACAGAACTTGAGTAATGCATACGGTTATTTTTTTATAGTTTTTCATTTCTCGATGCGTCCTTAATGTGACGGAATATACCGCGTTTACCCTATTCAATATTTATTGCAGCCTTGAATTGAATGTAGGTATTTCTAAATTATAGATTTTGTTAAAATTTACTATACCTTTACTTTATCCTTGATACCAAATAACATCTTTCAATTTTGACAGCATTATTAGATATATACATAATTACATATAAAGGAAATTTTTTTATAATTCTAATAGATAACTTATATCTGTGATTAGCTAAAAATAAAAAATGTGCATCAAAATAAACTATTAAAGAATGAAATTAGGATAGATTTAGTAGAGGCTTGCTAGACCTTTGTTATTGTTCCTTTATTCACCCTCAATCCAGCTTGGCTTGGCTAGATTACTCCTGCTTGGAAGCCTTGGGTTACTTGCTGTCCAAGCTGGAATATCCAGCATAATTTTATAAAAATCTTGGGTTAAAATGATTGTTTCACATGTGATTTCTGAAAATCTTTGGAATAAAATGGTGCATTTGTTATCCTTTTATAAGAAAAAGTTAGACCATGGTCCATAGACAAGATTGGTACAGCAATCCCTTGATTAACGCGGTTAATAAATCCCTGAGTTTTACCATGTTAAGCAAAACCGCGCTAATCAAACTCAAGAATATATGGGAATAATTATAATGAATCCTCAAAAATAGCAACATTACATAATAATTTTTTTTCCACTAAAATTCATCACATTTTTTTTTCTAAATAATAGGGGAAATATTTATTTTTTACTGAAAAACGAATCCAATTTCAATTGCACAGTAGATTTATTTCTCTCCTGCATAATTGTGCGATAGCAATTCACTTGCCTATCCAGGCCACGGCAAACATTCATGATTCTTTCTTCATTTGGGTCTACTTCTCTTATGATTTCTTTAGTTTTTTCAATTGCAGTGAGTAATTCTGCAAGTTTTTTACTAGAAATTTCTTTATTATCCGCTTCTTTTTCTTCTGTCTCCTTTTCATCTTCTTTGTAAGCATGTTTGTGGTCAATTGCAAGAACAAGTGCATACGGAACTGGACCTTATTTAAAGAATTATTGGCTGAAATTCATAAAGTAACAACATTTGGCCAATTTTTCCAAAAGTCGTAATAAAAGTAACAACATAAGATCTAATAAGCAAAAAGTAACACTTTTGTTACGAACGTAACACCTCTGGCTAGAGGCGGGAAAATGATGCGTTGTGAAAAAAAAGTCATGCTAATCAAAACTGGCACTGCGTAGATTAAGGAGAGGTCGCAAAAATTTTTTCCGTGGTAATCAAAACCGCGGTATTCAAAACCGTGCTAATCAAGGGATTGCTGTAATTCCATACCTAAACCTAGAATCTTGCAGCTCCTAAGTGATATATTTTGATGACTTAGGAATCTTGCT